AGTAAAATGAAGTATTGGCAGTATTATATGCCGAAGGATTGGGATTATAAATGGGTTTTTTTGGTGGTATTCTTTTGGGTAAATAGTATTGGGATCCATATTGAAAATATCCCACCATTTAACATATATGGTTTTTCCCAGGCGAGGTATATAGGTATAATTGGCTGTATTATTGGAAGACACAGATTATTCCCATTTCATAATCCATGGGAGTTGATATAAGGTGACAAAGTATAAATGTGGATCAATATTACTATCCATTTTATTGAATATTTCAAATTGCTCCTGTGCTTTCTGAAAAGCAGGAGGTAAAATATCACTTGTAGAGCCCCATATCAGAAACCAGTTTTTAAACCAACTTGGAAATCTTTCAAAAAGGGGCATCCTGAATTGAATATACCAACTATGAGAGTTCTTTGTATTTTGGTATGAAAATACTTTATGCCATGCCTCAATATACTCGGCATACTTATAGTATTTATAAGAAAATTCTGGATTGTTTAATTTTTTTCTTTGGGTGGGATTGCAACCCCACTCCTCATAGGATAAAAGCTTTTTTATTTGCATTTTTTAGTATGCAGTAACTCTTGTATTTTGTTGATAGTAATGGACTACAGAGACGGACCCTGTTTCCATTAATATGGCTTTATAGTATTCTCGGGTTTTTACTCCATTTGTGGGATTGAGATGGTTGATCAAGTAAAGAGGAGCAAGTTTGGTAGGGTCCATATGAACATGTTGGTCTTCAATGGTTATATCCATGAGAAAAGCTCTTTCTATGAATGTGGAACGAGGAGTATTTGGATTTGGCCTTTGAGACGGCTTTGATTGAGCAGGTGTAAATGTTGGGGTGGATGTATTATGTTCTGGGTAGGTTATTTGATGTATAGGTGAAATGGATGGTGAGAGAGTGGCCAAGGGTGGACTCTCAAGTAATGCTGGTAGTATATCAAGAGGGCGTTTCTCATTGCGATAATTGCTACGAGTGCCCATTAGAGTGGATAAATCAAACGAAATATTATTTGTATTAGCTGCAAAGAGCTGTAGTGCAAGTGTGAGAGGTGTATCGACGTTGGCGTCAGCGTGGTATATATATATATATATATATATATATA